GGCAGGGTAGTTCCTCTGCCAGGGGGACCCCAGCCCACCTGTTTAGAGCCCACAGCACCTGCTCAGATAGGGCCTGCCTGGGCATCCCAGGGAGGGGCAGGGTGAACTGCCCTCCTCGCCAGTGCCCTGGTAGAGGCCTCCAGCTTTGGGAGATGGCTCTGCCTTCATAGACCACAGGCACCATTCAGGGGCCCACGTTCCTTAAAACCAAACTCACTGCCATCGGGTAAGTGCTGACTCAGAATGAGCCCCTGTGGGTTTCAGGCTTCAAACTTCCAACCATGTGGATTGCAGCCCAAAGAGTAACCACTGAGCCTCGGGGCGGGGGCGGGGGTGGGGGAGGGGGCGGGTTTACTGCACTCAACTGCTAACAGAGAAGTTGGTGGTTCCAGTTCTCCCAGAGGTGCCTTGGTAGAGAGGTCTGACAATCTTCTTCACTAAACACAGATATTGGAAGCCTACAGAGCATAGAGCTACACTGATGCCCACGGAGCCCGCAGGTTTATGCCCTTGAATAGGGGTAAGTCAACACAACAAAAACCCACCTTTACTTTTCTACCCTCTAATTGATACTTGGCATTTTCTTCTATGAATGCATGCAACAAGACGTTGCTGGCAGCAGTCTGGTTTCGTCTCTGGGGTTTTTTAAAAATCATTTTACGGGGGGCACTTATAGCTCTCATAATATTCCATCCATCCATTGTGTCAAGCACATCTACATTTGTTGCCATCATCATTCTCAAACATTTGCTTTCTACTTGAGTCCTTGGTATCAGCTCCTCATTTTCCCCTTCCCACCCCACCCCCTTCCCTCACGAACCCTTGATAATTTATAAATTATTATTTTGTAATGTCTTCTAGGGGCCCTCACACGTTTTAAACGGGGCCAGTTCACTGTCCCTCAGACCCGTTGGAGGGCCGGACTATAGTTTTTGAAAAAACTATGAACAAATTCCTATGCACACTGCACATATCTTATTTTGAAGTAAAAAACAAAACAGGGCAAAAACACCCGGCTGGCCAGATAAATGTGTTCGGCAGGCCGCATGTGGCCCGTGGGCCATAGTTTGAGGACACCTGTCTTAGACTGTACAATGTCTCCCTCCACCCACTTTTCTGTGGTTTGTTATCTTTTGTTGCATTGTTTTGTTTTTGTGCATATTATTATCTCCACAGGTCTGTCTAGATAAGGTAGGTGGGATAAACAAACAATCTGGAGGGGAAAACAACAGGACCAAAGGTTCCGGGGGGACACGGGAGAGGGGGAGAAGGGGGAAAGGAAGTGGTGTTAACAAATCCAGACAAGGGAACAACAAGTGAGCCATAATAAGTGGTGAGGAGGTGTAAGAGGTCTGGAAGGGCTTGATCAAGGGCAATGTAACTGAGAAGAATTACTGAAACCCAAATGAAGCCTGAGCATGATAATGGGACAAGAGGAAAGTAAAAGGAAATAGAGGAAAGAGCTAGCTGTCAAAGGGCATTTATAGAGGTCTAAATACAGGCACGTACATAATATGCAAATATATTTTTATATGATGGTGGGGAAATAGATCTATGTGCATATATTTATAGGTTTAGTATTAAGGTAACAGATGGACATTGGGCCTCCACTCAAGTACTCCTTCAATGCAAGAACACTTTGTTCTATTAACTGGCATTCCATGATGCTCACCTTCCTGACACGACCACCGAAGACAAAAGCGGGTGCATAAGCAAATGTGGTGAAGAAAGCTGATGGTGCCCAGCTATCAAAAGATATAGCATCTGGGGTCTTCAAAGCTTGAAGATAAACAAGTGGCCATCTAACTGAGAAGCAACAAATCCCACATGGAACAAGCACACCAGCCTGTGCGATCACAGGTGTCGATGGGATCAGGTATACAGTATAGCAACGATGAAACATGCAATTTCCTCTAGTTCTTTAATGCTTCCTCTTAGCGCCCCCCCTCCCGCCCCACTATAATGATCCCAATTCTACCTTACAAATATGGCTAGACCAGAGGATGTACCATGGTACAGATAGGAAACGGAAACAGGGAATCCAGGACAGATAACCCCCTCAGGACCAATAATAGTAGAAATACCAGGGGGGCAAGGGGAAGGTGGAGTAGAAAGGGGGAACCAGTCACAAGGATCTATGGGTCTTTTTAATGGCGTTATAAATACAGATGTTTTCATGTGAACTTACATATTGTATGCATCTCGAAATATTTACACTAATTTATGTCTCCAGAAAGCAGTTATTAGGCCACTAGACCTTGTAATTTACCCCAAACCCCACTGTAATGGATTTGCTCACACCTCTGAGTGAGTCGGATTTCCGAGATTCAAAGCTACCGGAGTTGTCAGCCTGTCCTTTCTCTGGAGGAGTGGCCGGTGGTATTGTGCCTCCGACCGGGCGGTTAGCAGCCGGCGCTTACCCAGCAGTACCACCAGCTCTTTCGGATCTTGTGCTCACAGCAGAGGTTATCGGCAACATCCTAAATCTGTGAACACTTTGAAAGCGGTCTGATATTTGACATATTGCCTGTGCACACCTATGTTCCCTGTGCACTTTAAAACCTGATTTCACCCGG